TCTTCTCCTAGGATAAGTGCTACTGTAAAGGCTTGATTAAATTTCAAAGGAAAATAATTGTGGTCTACATATCCTTTCAACAGAATTCGACCGATAGCTGACCATTCTTCTTCTTGCCATTTAGAGTTCAGGCATGGCACACAGCCATCCTCGCCCTCAGCATTTCCTAAGAAAAAATCATTCCCAAAATGCGCAATAAACATCTCTTGACAAACTATTCACATCGCTACCACGCTCTCCAATAAAACTGAATGATATTTCTGTAACAGCTATGTCTGGGTCCTTAAACGCTGTAACCATATTATTCGAGACATTTACACGATAAATTTTGACGCGATCTTCACATCCAATCCTTTCGAGCGGCGGAATATTTTAGAGTGGCGGAGTAGGGCTTTGAGGGCCACCATTGTCACTGTAAATGGCAGACAAAGAATCCCGAACTTCTTGAGATGGATCAGTGGATAGGTCAATATAGTCAATTAGAATAGTGTCATCCAGGAACTCTTCTTCAGTGCTACTAAATGGTCCATATTGAATGGTATTAGATTCCGCACTTTCATTTACATCAGGTTCAGCATCGGCTACAACTTCGTCTATCACTTCCGTACTTAAATAAAAACCCACAATGCCCATTTTAACCCTCTCGTAAATTTCATCAATCGTAATGTTTGCATCCATTTCGGTTTCCTGAAAATCCAGTATGTCACAGCAGACATTGCTAAGATTTGACTGTTTTGACACACCTCCGGGAAAAAATAAATCTTTTCCAATTTCTAGTAGTGTCTCTTTATTGGCTGTTTTTGCAACACTTAATTTCCGGGTTCCCCCACCAGTTCTCTGCCTAACCTGCTTACCCCCATGGATCCAGCCAAATTCAATTTGCCGGGTTTTCTTCAAAGCATTATTGCTGCTCTTTTAAACTCGTTTCACATGTGATGATTTGCCTTAAGTGCATTTTTTGTTTCAACTTCTCAAATAATGTGTTTTTTCTAGTTTCCTTAGATCCAAATTTTTGGCAAACAGCTAGTCTGTCTCCTCTAGCAGGCAGGTAATTCGCCAGTTGATTGTCTGTCAACAGTGAAATTGTGTCCTTATCAATCTGTCAATATGAGAAAATTAGAGTAAATCAAACAAACCTAAATACATTGTTTCATTATTTCCCAAACAACAATCAGATATACATTAAATTATGAAACCAGATTTTCTAAAAGTAATGTTTTGTTTGAAAAACATACATCTCTTCATCGAAAAAAATGCAGTCTTCTACAATGGTCCTAAATTGTGGAACTCTTTATTTACTACGTTAAAAAATATTCCTAATCTTTCTTCCTTTAAAACCAAACTTTAAAAAATTCTAGTCTCAGTATATGGCAGGTAAGCCTTTTGTTATATTATTTGTTATAATATTTATTTCATTGTACTTATTGTTATTGTTGAAGTTATTTTTATTTTTTTTATTTATTTTAACAATCGTCCAACAGGAACACTTTGTAAATATAATCAAAGCTATGAAATTACAATGTAAAAACATTTTTTTGAATATTATTAGTACTATGATTATAATATTGCAATTACTACTATAAATATGTAAATTGATGATATTGTGATCATATGTTTATTCTTATCATTATTACTCATTGTCAGTATTACTGAAGGGAGCATCGCAAAATAAAGCAACGCGTATACGAGTGGGCGACACGACGAGATTAAAGGCTAGTTAAATAGGTAGTTGGCCATGCGTCGGGATTATTCACTTGGACTATTCCATTTCGTTGTGGGATTTGATAATGCTGTATAACAGTGAAAACAGAGCACGGTACACGACGCAGCTTTCGGCGCTTCACTGGGCTTAAAACATGCACAAAATCAGGCAACAAAAAACAAAAAAAATCAGGAAACCAACAGGCTTGTGCAGTTAATTCGGTTAGATAATAGTCGAGAATTTCGTCAAATATTCTGACTAGGTTCGAGGATATTTCTTAAATGCTTATAAAGTAGGTCGATCACCATGTATTAGGCCTATATCGAATCGATTGCTATATATAACCAGGGAGTTGTTATAGTGTTATACTATAACAACTCCCTGATATAACTAGCATACAGCTAAATAATTATACCGGTACTTTTGAATCTTGAAGTTGATGTGTTATTTTGTGGAGCTTGTCTGTAACATTATAAACTATTTGAATAGTATAAAAACATAGCAGCAGAATAGTGTCATGTCTATTTATGTATGATAAATTTTTGAATTGGCGCTATACAAATGTTTATTATTATTATTATTATTATTATTATTATTATTATTATTATTATTATTATATATTCAGCATACAGGCAAACACAGCCGGGTATATTATAAGTTTTGTATCGACCTTTGGGATTCCTAATTACATACCTGCAAATAGTTCCATGCTGCAAGTTAAACTGACACTGCTTTTGAAGGATAAGTTATACCGGTATTAAAATGGCATATTGAAATGAACGGTTTCTAGAATATCGATTGTGTAAACATGCATAACTTATCTACTGTACCAAAGCCATGTTTACAGTGGCACAGCACCGGAAGGTATTGTTTTGCTTCTCAGTGATCAAATTGCAAATTCACAAAGACAAAAGCTCTCATGATATTGCAGAAATGTATTGTATGTGGATTCTGTGAAAGGGATATTGTAGTAGTTGTGACATTGACAATGATTTTGCTGTACCGTATTAATTGTGTTCGTGAATTCAATCTTAAATTTTTCCTAAGAATAAACAAATATAATTAAATGATAGAAAAGCAAATAGGGAAGGCGCAGACCCGACTTTCGTTAATTCTCCTATTTAAAAATTCCTCATTTTCCTAATTTCTATACCATTTCATAGGCTTAGGGATGTTATTTATACAAAGCTCCCTGGGTCTACTAATTTTACATCTGACACAGAATATTGTCGGTACATACGCCTAGTATCCAGTATAGGCCTACATTTTGTATCTTCACTTTAAGTTCTGTTCAGTTCTTCCTGTTATGCACTTGTCAATTATTGTAGTCTTGGCACCCGCACCCCGGGCCTAGCGAGGACGTAGCCGGGGATGTCATTTACGAAATGGTTACGAGCATGTGAAAGTCCCGACCACCTCCTGTGGGTCATGGTGTTAACATAGGGCCTACATCTCCGGTCAAGTCCTCCCCACAACATTTTGTTGTTTTTGATGCACCGTTAGGTATTATGTGTGCCATTGATCTAAAAGTGTTATTCAATAAATATTACTATATTACTATCATATAGAGCGAGACAAAAAATAGCCGTCGGTTTAGCCATGGTCGGAGAAGCATGACGTGAGAAGTAGGCCAATGAGATGTGAGCTTGATTGATTAAAGCCATACGCATGCGTATCACTATGCAGATTCCATAGAAAAAGAAAAAAAAATGATTGATTGATTAATAGAAATTATTCAGATCAAAACAGAAATTAAATAAGAAAATTCAATGCAGTAGTAGTAGAAACAGATTTTCTTTTTGCCTTGTATTTTTTTTTTTTTAATTTAATTTAATTTTTTTTTTGGACGTAAAACTAGGTCAAATAGGCCTACATGTCAAGGTTCAATTTTCAAGCAACACACTCATTTTCACGCAACACACTCATTTTAAGTTGGTCCTGTCGTTGTATGGTGAAGGTTTGGATTTTATTTTGTAAATAGCCGTCGCCAGCTTCAGGCAAGAGTGGGCCGGGTTAAGGGCATGGGGTTTAGGGGCCCTCCCAATGGCCCCGTTAAAGTGAAATACATTTTTGTAAATATCCAACGCAACAGAGTATGGAGTTAAAGTATGCAGGGCCTAAAGGGAGCAACAGTAAAGAGACGCACAGTTAAAGCCGGTCACTCATTATGGTACATCGTACAACCGTCGCACGACAAATCAAACTATGCTCCCGGTAAGCGACAGACGATGCGATGCCGTTTACCGATTGTCAGTGGCAGTCTGAACGGATCCTCATTAAAAAAGTTTGTCGTTGCGTTGCCGTCGCGCGCAGTGAGTTTAGGCCTTAAACACACTGAAATTAAGTAAATTTGAACATCAATATATATTTTCTGCTAAAAATCAATCTCACAAATATTCTCATAGGTATACAATAATAGTATTGTAATTGCTTAAGTCACAAGGGGTTCACTTGTCAAAGGGGAAATCACTTGTCAAAGAGGAAATCACTTGTGAAAGTGGGGATCGGTGAAAAAGGGGATGCGTCCGAATCCCAAGGAACTCCCCTTTTATATTGGTAATAAACCAATTTCTTTTCTAATTTTAAATACAATTTGCACCTGAATTCGTTGTCACGTTGTCACGCATAGATGTGTCCACAGTGGTGGCACTAAAAAAAATCTTCGGATATTCGGGAATATGACGAGCAGCAGCAGCAGCTCTCACAGAAGGTGGTGAAAGAAGATTGGGCAGAGGTAAACCACGCCATGCATTGAGCTTTAAAGTTAGCTCCATGCGTCATGACAGGTAAGTTATATTACCATTATAGTTTCGGATATAC